AAAATTAGCAGAATTAAGGAGAAAATAACTACACTGAAAACAGAATCTTATTTTTTTCAATAAATTTTAAATAAAAACAGAAAAATTATTATAAATTAACATAATACTTATATATATATATATATATATATATATTTATATATATATATATATATATATATATATATATATATATATATATATAACCCTTGGAATTAGGGTCGGCATGCAACAATGCCAACCTAAAAGTGTTTGAGGTCGACAAATAATGCTGACCTTGTTTTTATGTTTAATGGTAAGACTTTTGAATCACTTTTTTTTGCTTTTTTGATTGATGTCGACAAATTATTGCTAACCTTTTTTTTCTTAATTCCAAGGGTTGCGTGTGTATATATATATATATATATATATATATATATATATATATATATATATATATATATATATATATATATATATATATATATATATATATACAATAGAAATATAGGTTTGCAATTAATCAAAGGACTATATAATTTCTTTATTAATAAGTATAATCCATTTACTTTAATAAAATTTCCTAGATGATAAAAAAAAAGGAGAAATTAAGGAGTGTTTCTCATCGGTTACTTAGTAAATTGCCAATAACATTCCAACACATGATATAGTGGTTATTCATATGTCAAGCACTTTTGGCTGCTGCCACTAATAGGTCATTAAGTAAACGATGACCAAAACTGAAATTCTGATTTAAATGTTTTTGCTGTGTTTGCACCATATTTTTTTACTAAATACTAAAACTAAATTTTTAAATAAATTTTCAAAATATCATTATAAAAAATCATTTTGAAAAAATATTAAATCAATTCCATCTTTAAATATATTTTTCTTATTCTCATTTAACTTGGATAAGTTACTAAAATATAAATTTTATCAAATAATAAATATAAATATTGATTTTAATTAAAATTATTCATATTGAACTTTTAAAGAATGATAAAAGAGAAAAATTATTTACATCTATCTTCTAAAGGATCCTTTTAGATAATTAGAGTTAGAGTAAAAGAAATTTTCTTCCCTCCTGTCTCTTATATAACTGTTTTGACTGGTTTAATTTTTTCAATTAGACTTAATTTTTAGTCAAAACTTTTGAACTTCACTAATAAATAATTACTAAAGTTAAGTAATTGGTTATTAGCGAAGTTCCAAAACTTGATATTGTAATATTTCAAAAAGTTCATTAACTAATGTACTGGTCCAATTATTTCGAATAGAACAATCTAAAAGTTGTTAATTAAAGATATTGAATTATATTGAATTACCAGCATAAACTCTCTGTATTATTAATAGGTTTTCCTTTTGAAAAATATGACTATGCATGAGATTCTAATTCTTTCAATGTCTAATTTCGATGTCTAAGTCTTTCAAAAAGTCAGAACTTGGTTCTTGATACAGTATATCAATTATTATATTTAAAATACTAAATCAAGTGTCAAGTATATACTTAATATATATATATATATATATATATATATATATATATATATATATATATATATATATATATACATATATATATATATATATATATATATATATATATATATATATATATATATATATATATATATATATATATATATATATATATATATATATATATATATACTATATTATAGTATATCATATACCCAGTTTTTAACTATTTATTTCAATATCTGTATCAATTTCAATATATGTATCAATATTAATACGATTCTCAAGTAATTAAATGTTTAAAAAAATATATATAAATTAGCAAGAACCTGTCTATAAGTCGCTTTTCATAAGGTGTTTTTAAAATTCTCCTTGAATCTTTGGGAAGTTCCAAACCTTGATTTGGCAATATTTCAAGAAGATCATCAAATAATGTACTGGTCCCATTATTGAATAGCTCAATGTTGTCGAGTAAAGACATTGAATTCAAAGAATTATCAGGAAATTTTTTTCAAATTGAACAAACAAACCGATTAAGTTAGTTAGTTAGTTTTCGATTAGTTAGGTCGATTATCGTTCTCGAAAACGTTCAAATTTGGTCGATTACAGTTTAGAATGAAATCCAGATTAACGTTTAGTACAAACGTCCATAAAATGTCTGTATTGAAACGTATATTAGGATTATTATACGTTTATAAAGCGTTTAGATTTTGTCTAATTTGCGTTTTAAATCTAGTCTAATTAACGTAAATAAAGCGTTTAGATTTAGTCTAAGTAAACGTATATTAAACTTTTAGGTTTAATGCAAGAAGCAAACTTGAGTCAAGTTCGACTTAAACTTTTCATTGTAACTAATAGCGGTAGAGATTTTTTTAGGAAAAAACCCATACTTTGCCCCTCTTGGTTACAATGTAAAGTTCAAGTCGAACTTGAATCAAGTTCGCTTCTTACATTTCACCCTTAGATCTTGTCTAATTGATTCTTTGATTTAGTTAACGTAATTTAAATTTATTTAAGTTTTAAAACTAATATAAATTAAAATTACGTTATAACTTTTTAACTTTATATAAGTAATAAGAGTTATGTAGGTCTTGAAATTTATAAATAAGATAAAGTTATAAAAAACCTGGTCTTATTTTTTATATTTTTTATAACTATTATAATATGATTATATAATTTTATACTATACTACTTATACTATACTTTTATATTATAAAATATAATAGTGTAAGATTTTTGATAAGATATGATAAAAATCTTTTATAAAACTGATATGATAATTTATAAGATTTAAAGCTTGATCATTAAAAAAAATTTAATGATCAAGCTTTTTGCAGTGGAAACTTTATATTAACAATTTCTACAAAATATTTTTTAAATTTAATCTCATTAGCTGAAAATAAAAGTTTACATTAGGATTATATCATAGATTACAATAAAATTAATAAACTCATAAACAAATGTTTTGAATCACTATTTTCTCTGGTTTATGCATTATCAAAAATCTTCCTAGAATACCGTCTCCCGCTTATTGATCTGTTTGTGCAACATCATCTTCTACATTCGTATATTGATCGTCTGATTTCGTAACCTGATTTGTAACCGCAAAAAATCAAGGTAAAATAGTAAGCATTTTAAATGTACATTTAAAAATCAAAACTGGAATTACACAAAACAACTTTATATATATATATATATATATATATATATATATATATATATATATATATATATATATATATATATATATATATATATATATATATATATATATATATATATATTATATATATATATATATACATATATATATATATATATATATATATATATATATATATATATATATATATATATATATATATATATATATATATATATATATATATATATATATATATATATATATATATATACGATTTTCTGAATGGAACTTTCAAAAATTTCCTGTACTATCCATGTTTATTTTTGACATTAAAAATTTAGTAACGTCGCGACATAACATATGCAGTGATTTTTACCAGCTCTGTTCTACCAATTTTCTTTAGCAAATGTAACTAAATTAAGCTAAAATGCATCTAAAGTAAAAAAATATTTTTTTTTTATTTTAGATGCATTTTAGTTAGTTTTCTATTTCGTTTTAATTATGCCTATTTAAACCGCGTGACATAGGCTGTTATGTGAGTCTTCTGACCAATCGCTATATTATTAAATTATAATATAATAAACGTTTATTAAACGTCGATCAAACGTTTAGAATAACGACTTATTATTAGTCAATTATATTAGTCTAAAGTATATTAGTCAATATTGTAAACGTTATATTTAAAGATTTAAAGCGTAGATTTTAAATATATAAATGTTTACGTTTAATTAGGGTCGATTAAAGGTTTACAATATTGACTAATGTAAGTCGATGTTCTAAACGTTAGATCGACGTTTAGTAAACGTAAATATAAAAAAGTTTGAAATATATATTTTAAATCAAGCGTCGATTTTTTGTCAATAATAGGTCGCTAAACGTTTAATCCCATTTTCGACCGATTTCGACTAAATATTGACCAATTCTGAACTAATCTGTGTTTACTGGATACTTTTCTTTGTTTATAAAATTACATTACGTTATTTTTAAAAAAATAAAATGGAGATTGACCATTGTATTGTTCCGAAAATAGTTTACAAAAAATATTTTTTTTTTGTATGTATTTAGGTGCTCCCAGAAGTCCTTAGGGTCTTATCATAGAGCACCGCGGTAGAGCATTTAACAAGAAGTTCACGCCTCCTTCCGTACCAATGTCGCTTGTTGGGCTAGAGCTGGCGTCGAACCTCGAACCTCTGGGTTCTGAGCCAGAACTCTAACCACTGCGTGGCGCTTATAGAACCTTATAGAAACATATACCGTGGCGCTTATAAAATCTTATAGAAACATATACGAATTCCCTGGTATGATTTTTTGGAGTTGCCTCCGATAATACTTGCCACAATATGTTTATTAGTTTATTTACTTTGTTGTAACAAAATATTAAAGTTAATTTTATAAAAAGTTAAAAACCTTGAAAATAAGGTCTTTTTTAAATTTTTTTGAATTGCTTATCGATTTTTTTGAATCGATTATTGCTTTTATATTTATATAAAATTATTTAAAAAAGTAAAAAAGCAGAAAAGTAAAAACAAATCAAGCATGAATTTGTATGCGCGGCAAGTTTTATGGTAACTGTAATATGCTATTAGTATCTTTTTCATTAACTACCATAGAGGTCGTCAATTTACACAAAATTTCAAACGTCGGAACAGGTTTTTGAATCTATCACCTACGGTTGTTTCTACCTTTTTCATTAACTTGTATATTAACAACAACATGTGATATATATGTTCATTAACATTCGAAATTGTTTTGAATGTAACATAACTATGTGATTTAATTACAATGGCTTTTAGTTACTTTTAGCTAATCTAATGAAAGATTAATTATGCTTTTTATTTTCTCTTAATAAGGTATTCATAACACACTGTCTGCTGATCAAACAATATAGCAAACTTTTGATACAACTTATGTTAACTTCATGATAAACCTACTTCTTAGCAACCTAGGTCAACATGAATAAAATATATAAATAAACCTAATCATCACAATTATTTACTTCCACAAGTTTAAACTTTACAAAGTTATAAAAACTAATTTTGCTATTATTAAATATGGGAACAATTATACTGCTCTCGCTTGTAGGTAGGAAGTAATTTTATATATATACAAGTATCTTTTAGACCTTTACAAATAAACTGTGTTTGTAAATCTTTTTTATGTGTTCAAATGTGTCAAACTTTCATGTGACCGCGTGTCAAATTATCGTGTGATTATGTTAGAAGTAAAAACTAAAAAAAAATCTCAATAAACTTTAATAATAAATGAAATTTTTAAATTTAAGGGTACGCGTTAACATTTGAAACACAAAACTGGATGAGTGAAGTTGATGGAAATAAGAAACTTAGTCAATTAGCCATTCCTGGAACTCACGATTCTGGAGCATACGATACACCTGGAGATGTCGGAGAAGCTCAAGATTGGAATATAATGCAGCAGTTAGAGAATGGGATTCGATTTCTTGATATTCGTCTTAGCATTAATGGTGTAAGTAATGACTTTGAAATTCGACATGGAGCACTAAAGTTAGGTAGCTTTAATAACTTGGTGATGAACAATGTAAACAACTTTCTAAATAGAAACCCACGTGAAACTATTCTAATGTCTATTAAAAATGAGGATAATATAGATAAACTAAGACTTGTAAGAGATTACCTTCGAAACTATAATCATAAATTCTATCAAAACCCAGTTACACCGTCTACAAAATTGGATGAAGTTCGTGGTAAAGTAGTTCTTTTCAACCGTTACGACAATGACAATAGTATGGGGATTTTATGGGATTCCATTAAACCCAACATACAAGATGAATACAATTTGGACACAGAATGCAAACCTATAATTGGTTGCGGACCTTTGATTGGCTTGGATTATCCAAAAAAAGCGCGTCTAGTTACACAAAACTTGGAAATTGCAAAACAAAATTATGGAAAAAACATTTTTTATATCAACTTTGCAAGCGCAAATTGGAATGGAATTTACATTGGGAACAGCGCAAAAGTTTCTAATGAAGCAGTCAAAAATTTTTTTGATTCTAATATAAAAGTTGGAGTCATTGTACCTATGGATTACCCAAACCGTCAACCTGGTCTTATTTTGAGCATGATACATGATTCAATATATGATGCAAATATAATTATGAGCACACAAAATGATGGAATTTTTGGCACCTGGGGAGAAAAACAAATGTGTCCACCTAACCAGTATGTATATGCCATGAGACTTCGAAGTGAACCTAATCAAGGTAGTGGTGATGACACTGCTTTAAATGCTGTTGAACTATTTTGCAATAATAAACAGGGGCAGAGCTACACAGCTATTTCAAGTAAACAGGGACCGTATGGATTGTGGTCTCCTAACGTATATTGCTCCTCGTTTTCTGACCCAGTAGTAGGGTATAATCTTTTAATTGAACCAGCGCAAGGAAGTGGTGACGACACCGGTGCTAACAACCTTGTTTTATATTGCAATGGAGGAACTTCATTAACTGCAAATGTTTATACAAACTATGGTGCGTGGCAACCCGTAAACCGTTGTCCTTATGGAATGGCTGTTGTAGGTTTAATCACACGTGTAGAAGATAACCAAGGTGATAATGACGATACAGCTTTAAATGGAGTTAGAATGTTTTGCAAACCATTCTAAGCTTTAGTAAAGCTCAATCAAAAATGCTAAGATAGCTCAGAAACCTGAAAACTTTACATTTGTATTCATACTATTTAAATAATAAAATTCTTAAAAAAATATTTTTCAGTTTGTTCCATATAATATTAAAACTATTACCCAAGTTAAAACAAGTAATGTTTATAAATAATTCAAGGGAAAGTAAAAAATACTTTTATAACTATATTTCTAATACAAATCAAATAAAATAAAATATCATCTTAGTTGTCGAATGGCAGTTCAGAAATATGAAGCATATAAAAAGTACCGTTATAATGACTTCATGAGCTAATAGTAGTATGACCATTGCTTTTATGTGTAGTATGACCATTGCTTTTATGTGTATAGCTTTTTGATTTATATTTTTGTTGAAAACTTATATATAAGTATGCATAAAGGATAAAACAAAGCAATGAGGCAAGATGGAATGAGGCAAGATGGCTTTTTATATAACAACTCAAAATAAAAACTTTAAATCGGTGAAAACAAAACTGTATTTAGATCTTGTATTTTAAAATTCCAATTTTTTTTTTAATATTACTCACGCAATTTCAAACGCATAAGTTTACTTTTGCGCTCCAAAAAAAAATACCTCGGTTTCGGTTATTCATAATGGATAGTGTCTTTCGTGTAACTTTTTTAGGAATATTTTTTTGCGATGCGAGTTTATTTCGTGTTTCTCTCGTGTTACTTTAGTTAAAGTAGTTAGTAGTTTTTAAATTTTTTTAAAAATGGAAACGCAAATCGCAAAACAAAGTATTATTGTTACACTATATATATATATATATATATATATATATATATATATATATATATATATATATATATATATATATATATATATATATATATATATATATATATATATATATATATACTATATATATATATATATATATATATATATATATATATATATATATATATATATATATATATATATATATATATATATATATATAATCTATTATATAAATCAATTAGCTCGAATTAAATGTTAATATTTTAATTTAATATCAATAATTTAAATAAAAAAATTTCAAAAATAATGAGAAAATTGATCGTTCAAACCAAAAATTGCAATGAAGTGGATTAATGTTACCCAATGTTACGGTAGTTGTATTAAACAAAAATAATATTATTTATTTTATTTCATTTCAAACATAAGTTATAGATTGTCAAAGATAAGATTTTAATTAAAAAATTTTAATTTAGTTTTTCTAAATTGTCTTAACAACGTCGAATACTGCTAGTTTCTTACACTTTGTTTCTCCCCAGTAAGCACAGGACGTTTTTAAAACGTTTTAATTCCGTACAATTTACGGTCGGACGTTAAAAAAACCCATACAATTGTTTTTTTGTAAATGTTTTTTTTTATGTTAATTTAAACGTTTTTTAAGCGTTTTTTTAACTTTTTTTTTTTTTTAAATAACTTACGAAATTTTTCAGTTAGGTTATAAACGTTTTTAAAACGTTTTTTTAACGTAATATAAAAACGTTTTTCACGGCAATATCTTAAAGAGTAAGTTTACGCAAATAATGACCTTCGGTTAGATAGATTTGTTTAAGTAAAATTTATATAAATTAACATATCTTTAAATCAACCAAGTGTTTGTATTGTTTTCTTGCAAAAAAAAATCATTTGGATTTTAGAAAAGGGAACAACATTCTCAGAGTTTTTCTTCTTTAACTCTAAAAATAAAAAATGATAATATCAGTGGTTTTTATAAAAGAATTCTTATAGTTGAAAAGGCTGAAAGGAAAAAATATGATGATTTGTTCAAGGTTGCATGGTTTTAACCAAATGGTTTAAATCATGGTTTGAACCAATTTAAAAAATGTTGGTTTAAACCAAACTAATATTTTTTTAAAAATATTTGAACTTAAAACAGGAAACTAAGACAGGGTTATGCTCACAAATATAACTAATCTTCAATATAGATATATTTTTTTAAATTCATAATTTTTTTTTTTTTTTTTTTTTTTTTTAATTTATCAATATGCTTCATCCAGGATACACTCTACCTAGTAGAACTGAAATTGGAGGAGAAATATTAGATAGGGTTTACACAGAAGAAATTAAAAAATGTAATGTATTGAATGGGAAAATTGTAGCCATGTCTTTAGATGACTGGAGTAATGTACATAATGAACCTATAGTTTGTATCTCTGTAATAATAGATAAAATTAACATTTTAGTAGAAACAATTAACACTTCTGGTCATTCACATACTGGTGAATATCTTACACAATTAGCAAGAGAAGCAATAGACTTTGTAAGACATAAATTTGGATGCACAGTAAAAAGCTTTGTGACTGACAATGCAACTAATGTGAAATCAATAAGACAAGTATTGTCATCTGAAAGAGATATTATTATAACTTATTGGTGTGCTGCTCATATGCTGATTCTTTTAGCAAATGATCTTAGCATTGAAAATGTGAGCAAGCATGTTGCACAAATAATAAAATATATAAGAAATAATCATCAAGCTGGAGCAATTTATAAATTAAGCGGAGGAACAAAATTGCCACTTCCTACTGAAACTCACTTACTTTTTTACCAATCACGAGATCAAAGTCTTTATTTTTTTCAAACATTGTAAAAATAATGCTCCAGTTGTTGACATACTTTTCGTGTGAATCACATACAGAATTCCAGAAACTCAATAGAAACTCAATGGAATTCTGTATGTGATTCACACGAAAAGTATGTCAACAACTGGAGCATTATTTTTACAATGTTTGAAAAAAATAAAGACTTTGATCTCGTGATTGGTAAAAAAGTAAGTGATATACAGTTAAAGCGAAACACAGAAGATTTATTGAAAATATTGAAACCAATTGCAGTAGCTCTAGATAAGTTGCAAAGAGATCAAACAAAAATAAGTGACTCTTGAAATTTTTAAAGATTTGATGAACAGTTTATTGTTTTTATCAAACGAAAAAAAAAAAAAAAAAAATTGAATCTAGATACCTTCAGACTGTCAGTGATACTCATTTCCTGGCAAACACACTAGATCCTAGATATTTTGGATCTAATCTTTCTGAAAATGAAAATGAAGCTGCCATGAATTTCGCAGATAAAGAGTTCAAGAATTTGTTACCAATATTATTTAAATTAAAAACCAAATCTACTATAACATAATGGAAATTGAAGGTTTATTAAATGCACCAGTTTCTAGTGCTGGAATCAAAAGAATTTTTCAACTTTTGGTCTTATTCATTTTAAGTTAAGAAACGAATTGGGGGTAGAAAAAACAGCTTGTATTTATATATAGAACATTAAACAATGATGTATTAAATAATTTTGATGAGATATAACAATAATATTGATAAAGAATATAGTTTGCTCAAATAAAATACGTTATGTTTTTTTTAATTTAAAAGGATAACTAAATACCGCATTTTTTAGTAAAAATCTAATTTAAACCAAAAAAACCATGGTTTTTTTGTTTTTTTTAAAAAAAACTTTTGGTTTTTGGCTTTTTTCAAAAAAACTGTTTTTTTTGCAACCCTGGATTTGTTTCAAGAAAGTGAGTGACTTAGTTCAAAATGTCATTTTTAGATCTTTAATCTTTAATGATATTCTGATTTTATTACCAAATTTTTGGCAGTATGAAACCTATAATATTATATACCATATTATATACCCTATTTTATTTATAAAAAGTAATTTGTAAAAAAGTTTTTATTGTAAAATTGCTACATTAGAAAACAAGTTGTTAGATAAAATTCAAATACTCTCTATGCTTGTGTTCTGTAGGTCAAAAAATAATAAATAAAAATGATATTAATTGTGATGACCAAGAGATTCATTTTAAGACACATCAATCTTCATCATCTTTAAATAAAAAGGATAAATATGATGGATTTCCATTATCTCAAGCAAGTAAGTCTTTAGTTAAAAATAATATTGTAATGTTTGTTGTAAAATGCTAACATAACTGTCAATATTAAAAGCTATCATTGAAACGATGAGGTCCCAATTTTATTTTTAAATAATCACCTGCATAAAATCCATTATTTCAATATTATTAAAACTATAAATCTTTGGAACAATCTTTCTTGTCTAACCCGAAATCTGAGAAAAACTGTAATATATATAAATAGCGTTGCCACAATCAAGTATTTTACTGTCTATTAGTTTTTCTCTGATTTAGGATTAGACCATTAAAGTTATTGAATTATTAAATTTATGTATTTTAAATTTATTTATTTATGTAGTTTTGTTAAGACTATGTTAATTTGATTATTGTAAATTTGTTTAAACTTTCAATGTTGTGTGTTGCTTTTCTTAAATGAGATAAAAACCCAAGGATGCAAAAAACTTAATATAAAATAGTGTGAACAAGAAGTAGTAACTGAAATAAACAGCCTAATAGAGTTTGATAAGTTTGACTCAGCACTTGATAATGTTTTATCTAGTAACTCTGTAGTAACTCTGCAGTTGAAAATTGCTAAATACTGATTTGACAGATTTTTTCTTTTTTAAAAATTTTCTTTACAATATATAATTTTTACTGCTTAATTAGGAATTGTAAATTTTTCCATTATTTCTTTCTATTAGAAACAAAGAGTTCAAAATATTGGTGGTAAGAGTTGTCAAAAATCTGTGATAGCTATGATGAAGAGGTTAGTAAATTAAAAGTGCATTCCTATAAATACTCTGTTTAATTTTATAATAATATTACTCCCATCTTACAATCTATAATACAAATCTCATGCATGGCTCTACCTAAGCCGTTTTACCATAATGGGACGGCTGAATAACCGTGAATTTCATAAGTGCGAACTGGCATAATTGCGAATTCACATAAGTGAAAACTAGCACTTGTCCGAAGCAGTTACAAAAACTGGCACAATGCCAAATGGCATAAGTACAAATGGGCATAGGTGCGCAAAAAGAATTTCCAAACATTGGCATAAGTGCAAACTGCTATAAGTGCAAACTGGCATAAGTGTGAATTGGCATATGTGTGTTGAACAAATTTGCAAACATTGACATTTATGTGAAGTGGCATAAGTGCAAAGCAGTTATGAAACAGTTACAGAAACTGTCATAAGTGCAAACTAGCATATGTGTGAATTGACATAAGTGCGCTAAATAGATTTACAAACATTGGCATAAGTGTGAATTGCCATAAGTAAGAACTGGTATAAGTGTGAAGCAGTTTCAAAAACTGGCCAAAGTGCAAACAACATAAATGCGAACTAGCATAAGTGTGCCAAATAAATTTGCAAACATTTGCAAACTGGCATAACTGCAAACTAGCATAAGGGCAAAATTCCAATTAGCACTTATGCCAATGTTTGCAAATTTATTATGTGCATTTATCTCAGTTTGCACTTCTGCCAGTTTTTGTAACTGTTTTATACTTAATCAAATTTTGCACTTATGCCTATTCAAAATATTTGTAAACCTGTTTGGCGCACTTATGCCAATTCACACTTTTGTTAGTTTGCAAGTTTAAAGCTATAGGTTATTCTATAGCTTTAAACTTAAGTCCAGACAATTCTTTTAACCCAGACAATATTCATATACATGACTACACTAATGGTTAGTGTACACTAATGATCTGGACTACACTAATGGTTAGTGTGCTATTTTTTAAATAATAATAATTAATAGATAAACTGTATTGTTAAATTTAATTAAACATTTAGATTTTATGAGAAAAAGAAAAACATTTTTTTAATACAGTAGTTAATTATAATTTCATAAATTATAAAATATAATATTAAATTATGGTATTTTTAGTTTTATGACAAATTCACTCATGGCCAAATTTAATATGGCAGCTGGAAAAGGCAAAGGTATGTATATGTATAATAATAATAATTAGAAATTAAAGTGCCATTATTTACAACAATAACAATAGTGATGAAGTAATTCAGAAGCACTAAACAAGTAAACTATGAGTCTGAAAAAGAGTTCATAAAAAGTTCATATTTTAGTTTTTTTTTGAATGTTTCTATAGAAGTTGAGTTTCGCGTGTTCAAAGATAAACCATTCCAAATTCAAGGTGCAGTCATACAAAAAGATTTTGAGCCTAGGGAGGTTTTTTGTTGACGACGTGTAAGTTGGCAACTGTCTAATGATCTTGTATTTTGTTTTGAAGTTCGGACTTCTAGGAGTTCAAATAAATATGCAGGAGATTTTGGTAATAAAATTTTATATGTGATAACTGATATTTTATAGATTATTCTTTGATGTATTGGTAACCAATGAAGAGATTTCAGCAATATTTCTGATTTTAAATGGAAAGGAGAATGGAAAACAATACGAGATAAGTTATTTTGTATTCGTTGGAGTTTTTAAATATTTTTTTGATAAGTGCCAGATAAAATGCTGTTACAATAGTCAAGCTGAGAGTTAACGATGCCACAAGCAATTATGTTTGCAGCTTCTTTGGTCAGACATGGATGAATGTGGTAATTGCAGGATTTAATAATGTTGTTTATGTGCTTGTCCATAGAGAGCTTTGAATCTAGGATGACTCCAAGGATTTTTGCGGAATTTATTGTAGTTATTATGGTTCCAGAAAACACAATATTCAAATCATTTTTATATTTGCTAGTTTGTTTTCTAGATCCAAATAAAATAGCTTCTGTTTTATTTGGATTAAGCAGAAGTCCATTTTCTAGAAACCATGTTGTTACTGCATTAGCACACTCAGTGGTTTTGTTGATGTTATCTTTGCCAGGGCTGAAAAGTATAAAGTCGAGTATCATCAGCATATTGATGATGATTTGTACCAAATTTAGCTATAATACGATATATAGGTGAAACAAACATAGAAATGGGCCTAATACACTACCCTGTGGTTCTCCTGTTGAACTTGCTATTAGTCTAGAATTTAATGATCCAATAGAAACAAAAGATTTTTGAGAGTGCAAGTATGATGTTAGCCATTTTAATGCAATATCTGTGACACCAAAATCATTCTTAATACAGGTAATCAGCAGGCTGTGATCGATTGTATCAAATGCTGAAGATATGTCCAGAGATAGGAGAATAGTGGTTAAACCATCATCAATGTTTAGCAGGATGTCACTGCATATCTTTAAGTGTGCTGTTTCGGTTGAGTGATAAGATCTAAAACCAGATTGTAGAGGATTGAAGTTGACAGATGATGTTACATGTGGATGAAGACAAGATAAAGCAACCTTTTCAAGAATTTTTGCAAGTTTTTTTGGAGTTTTTGCAAGCTTTTCCTGCATATTGTTCTTTATAATTTTGAGTTTGCGTATGAAATATTGACTTATTATATCGCATTTTGCTTCTGGTATTGTGTTATTAGTTTTAGAACTATTTGAATGTAGTAATTTCTTGGCAATGTTCCATGTTTCTTTTTGATCACCGTATGCTGAATTTAGTTTCGCTTATAATGACTACATCTGGATTTGTGAATAGCTGCTGCAGCCTCACGGCATGCAGTTCGATATAATTTTTTATCTGATAAACTACCAGTTTTTTTATAACAACGCTCCAGTTTACAACGTCTGATTTTTTTATTCTTGGCATCTGAAGATAACCATTGATCATCATGTTTACCAATTCGCATTGAATATTTTCAAATGGGTGCTAAATGATCAAGAACAGTTGTTTTACTTGATCTTATTTGTTCAGCATAATCATCCACATTGTTTTCAGGTGATAAGCAGCATGGCATCACTTGCAATTCTTTTATAAAGCATGACAAGTTTAGTTTTCTAAAGTTTCGTTTTGAAAACCAAACAGTTTTAGTATTTGAAGGTTGATGATAAAGTTCTACCCGAATCATATAGTGATCTGAAATACCCTCGTCAGTTACTTGGATACTCTTAAGTGAAATATTATCATGTCGATTTATTACAAGATCAAGCAAGTTGGCTATACCAGTAGTAGATGATATGCGAGTTGGAGATTGAACTCGTTGTATCATGTTGTAGGTCTCTAAAATCTCATTAAGTCTTGACTTGCAGGTTATTGGGGTAGTACCTGGTCAGTTTAAGTCACCAGACAGAAGTATTTCTCCAGATAATGTTTGAATTTCCTCTAGGAGTTCAGATAATTGGAAAAAGAAAATGTTTGTTGGAATGATTGGATTTGATTGATAAATAGCAACAATATTGTAGATAGTATTTGCCAGATTTAGTTTAGCTGTTGTACATTCATAAAACAGACAGGTAGATGATAATGAGAGTGGCTTGATATTTAAGTTGTCTCTATATATTATTGCAATGCCTCCTCCACGATGGTCTGATCGGCAGTATTGAATTGTTTTAAAGCCTGGTGGGGCCATATCTTTTTTAATTGCAGTAGGGTCGTCCGACTTTATCTAAGTTTCAGTGAGTATAAAAATATCTAGAGAATGATTTTGCACTATATCATGAATGATAGCAGATTTTTTTATGGCAGATTGAACATTTTGGATACCCAAGTTTAATGCAGAGGTTCTTTTAATTTTTATATGTAAGTTATTAATTTCGATCCATTTGAGTTCACCTGATCGTTTACCCCAATAATATTTTTTTCCATCGTGCACATTGTATTGTTGCCTCCCATTTGTTCCCTCAACCTCTTGAGCAAGTGCTGCATTTCTAGTATTTCTGACTTTTCTGAGTTTACTTTCGAACAATCTCTCATTTGCTGTTTTGTCTTTATTAATAAAAATATTTTTGAAGTTAATACTGTCCTTTAATTTTTTGGAATTTTTAATTATAAAATTTTGAGTTTCTTTGTTCTCCAATTCAACTAAGAAAAGGTCAGGTGGTCCTTCTGGTCTTTAAGCATTTTTAGTTAGTCGAAATATTCTTTTTGTATTTGTTATTGAAAAATCTGGTTTAATTGCTTTTAGTATTGTTTCAATGGTTTGTTTATCATTTTAACATCCCCAAATACCAATGGAACCACCACCGCCTTGTCAACATTGTTGCAAAAACCGTTCTGAATATTTCTTCATTACAAATCTTTTGACATATAGTCTTCCCTTGCGGTTTACAACTTGAAAATTAGCTTTATCACTCTAAATAACTTTTAACCAGTCTTCAACAGTCCAGCTTAATCTTTCTTTTGACCATATTCGCCGTTTACGTCGGTCCATGATTGATAAAATAGGTTTTCTTGCTGCAATGTATGTTCCAATACCTTTTTGCAGCAATGTTCGCCTAACGAACATTGCTGCAAAAATAAATATAATTTATTTTAGTTAACATTGCTAACTAAAATAAATATAATGTAAGCTCTCTGCTTACATTATATTTATTTTTCGACTCGTTGAAGATTTGTGCTAGCTTTTTGTAGCTGTGCCTAGGATTCTCTCTGCAGCTTCTGAATATGCTACTTTTTTCACGGTCACTAAGCTTCGATGGTCTCCCGGAACGCGGCATGTCAACGACGTCCTTGGTAAGCTTTTAAGGGTTTAATAAGGGTTTGACTGTTTTTCGTACACAAGATTCAGAAACCCCAAGTTTTTTGCCTATTTGAACGTTGCTGTAAATTTTTGACTTGTACATACCAATAATTTGCCATTTGATCTCACTTGAAACTGGTTTTTGCCCCATTTGCACGCAATTTGAAATTGTTTGAAATTTCCAATGATTTCAGTTGATTTTCGTTGAATATGAAGCTGTTGAATAATGTTGTGACGATTTTTATTGACTGAAAACCACTCAATCTACTTATGTTTATGTTTTAAAACAATTTTTGCAACGGATTAATTAATTACTTAACAAATAATTGAATTTTAATAAACTCGTTTAAACTTTTATGACACCAATTAATTTCTCACATCTATCTATTAATCAAATTCCCAAGAGATCACTTATGAGTCGAAACCTACCTTTTTTATTTATTTTTGATCAGAAAACCTAGTTACCGAATGGGTAAAAATTATTTTGATATCTATTTCCGTTACATTTTTATTAAAGAAAAGCCAAAGATTTGTTCTTAAAATTACACCCTCGTTTAAATTATATATATATCTATATATATATCTATAACTATATATAACTATATATAACTATATATAACTATATATAACTATATATAACTATATATATATATATATATATATATATATATATATATATATATATATATATATATATATATATATATATATATATATATATATATATATATATATATATATATATATATATATATATATATATATATATATATATATATATATATATATATAGTATATATATAGTTATATATATAGTTATATATATAGTTATATATATAGTTATATATATAGTTATATATATATATATATATATATATATATATATATATATATATATATATATATATACTATATATAACTATATATAACTATATATAACTATATATAACTATATATATATATATATATATATATATATATATATATATATATATATATATATAATATATATATATATATATATATATATATATATATATATATAGTTATATATATAGTTATATATATAGTTATATATATAGTTATATATATATATATATATAGTATATATAGTTATATATATATATATATATATATATATATATATATATATATAGTATATATATAGTATATATATATATATATATATATATATATATATATATATATATCTATATATATATATA